TGGTCGTATAAGACTCGGAGGAATCGGTTCCAGATCTCAGATTTGCCGCTTTGGCTCTCGTATGACAATCGGTCGCTATTTCTCTCCATTTCACTCACAATAAACTCCTTGTCTTCTACTGAAGCCATCACTCAATCGGATCCACTGATAGTGCACTCAATCACTGAATTGAATGGAAATTATTTTAAAGTTTACTGAATATTGAAATCCATGTAAACAATAGTGAAGGAGAGGAAAGGCATGACATCTCTGGTCTCACCCAATACTTGCAACAACTCTCTCTCTCTCACTCTCTCTCTCTCTCTCTCTCACTCTCTCTCTCTCTCTCTCTCTCTCTCTCTCTCTCTCTCTCTCACTCTCTCTCTCTCTCTCTCTCACCGGAATAATTATTGTATTAATAAATAAGATGACTACAGATTGGTTATAGATTGGTTTATTGGTCTCATAGGTAGGGGAAAGGGATCAGATTATGATTTCTTAATTCAGAAAATGGATCTACCAACTTGCCACTGGATTAGTTTAAATTTAATAAAATTGATAGAGTATTGAGTGAATTGTGAGTCAAACTTTGAAAGTTATACATAAAGTAGAATCCGTATAATGAACGTATAGCAACAGACAAACTTATTATTAAACACACAATCCTATTACTGTATAAAAAGTTAACATAAAAATTTATTTCAATTTAATCAAAAATTCTATTTGAATAACATTTAACTAGGACCAAGCATTGAGTTCAGTATTACTTAATTTATTTCAATATTTAAAATAACTTACTTTAATGCAATTAGGATAATTTTATCAAATATTTTATTAACTAGTTTTATTAATTTAATATATTTTTATTAAATTATAAAAAATTTTACTATTAAGTTGCTACATTATGCTGATTAAATATGGTACAGTATTACTGTACTGTATTACTAATTTTGTTTATTTATTAAAAGTGTTTGTTTATTAAATAGAGTAAACATGGCTAATTCTTGACACCAGACATGACATCAGGAGATCCGGAGTTCAAATCCCGGTGCTTCCCTTTGAATACAGTTTGTCTTTTCAATGATTTCTCACACTTTCTATACTTTCAACCCATTTATCTGATACTAAAAATAAGTTATTGAAAAACATCTAAAATGGCTAATTCTATTCAGTTTATTTTATTGCAATTATATCAATTCAATAGAAACACAATTAATTAAAAAACCAATTTATGTCTAGGATATAATGGTCATATTATCGCTAAAACAAAAACGTTTGATAATTATAATATTAATTATATCTATATTAAGTTTTTTATTATTTTATACATATTTTATATCAATTAATAATAACCAATTGGCTAATATTAAGAATTCCAAGCAAATCCAGGTAACTTTAAGTTATTATTTTTTAGTTAAGTAATAATCAAGTATTATTTTATATGTTTCTATTTTTATTATTTATTATTTAAGTTGTTAGATTAATATTTTACAATTATAATATAATATAGCTTTCTTCGCATAAAATTTATACCTGTATTAAACAATTTTTTAATTAATTGCAAGTTTTAAAAACATTTTATGAATATTATGTTATATAATATGTATAAATATTTCATGTTTGTTTTGGAAACCCTTTACATTTTCAATTGTGAAAAAGTTTTTTCAATTAACACAAAAATCATTAATAGTATAGTTTCCTTAACGGATCTGATTCTGATTAAACATTTGTCGCTTTGTCAATAGAAATCGTGTCGTAAAATAGCATATTTTTATTTCATTAAAATTTATCTAAATGTAAGCCTCAGATAATAGACAGAATATATCCTTTATAAAAATTAAACGTGAAATGAGATATAATTTAGAAATTATACTGCAAACAATAATTTTAAATATATTAATTGATTACAATTATTGTGAGAATACGTGTGTAGTTATACTTCATGGCAGAGGCGAGAGTATCAACAACGGAATGGCCCATCATTTTGCTGATGATTTGCGCAAAGTTTTTAAACAAAACAATTTGAGCCAAACTTACGATGTGCTCGAAGTTGGATTAAGCAGCGATAGTGTCGATGACTACAACTGGTCCTCATTCAAGCCCATGTCCTTTCAATTGGAAAAGTTATGTCAATACATAAGAAATAATACATTGCATCGATTGCGACACAATTGCGGACGAATTGAATTAGTGGGATGTTCTCAGGGCGCTCTCCTCATGAGGGGTCTCCTATGGGGCACATGTCTGGACACAGTTGTGCCCAAAATTGACAAATTGATCACTTTTGGAGGACCTAATAGTGGCATCTTTGGCATCCCTGACTGCTCACAACTCAATTCTCACAGTCGCATAATTATGATGGGTTGCAATCTATTGCAGTCAGCCCTCAGCACCTCCAAGACGGGTCCATCTGTTTTCGATGTTTTCATATATGGCTTATCAAATGTATTATCGTTTTCTTCGTATTGGAATTCTCCCACAAATGCATTTCAAAAAACCACTTTCTTATCTGAAATTAATAATGAAAATTCAAATCAAAATCATAGTAAATATTTGTCGAATAAATTAAAGGGTTTAGTATTGGTGTCATTTGAGAATGAATCCACAGTTTTGCCACCAATTAGTGCATCATTTGGTTATTGGGACCAAACGGCAGTCTCTTATATACCTTATTCTCGGACAGAATTATATCGAAATGATTTAATTGGTTTACGGACTTTAGATGAAAACAATTTGCTTACTTTTAAAACTATTCGTAATTCTTCGCATATGAATATTCCTTTTGGTTTTACAAATAATGAATTTCTTGATTATATTAAATAAATTTTAATGATTACAGTATTTAACTACTTTATATCACTAGGTTCTACAATAGGTTATCAAATTGATAATAAATATAATTCATAAAATTTTATTTTGTTTAAATATTCAGCTTATTTATTCAAAACTTATAAATAGATTTTTAAAATTCTCACTATATACTGAAAAACAGATTTTGTAAATACTAAAATAAATAAAGTAAAGAGTTGCATTCAATTTTGTGTTATTATTTAGATTATTAATAAAATGTTTCATTTTCTACCCAACCGTTGGGATACCGTCTTAATAGAAATCTTCTTAATTCATCAAAAATAATCATTAAAATAGCGAAAGGTATGGAACAGAACCACCAGTACAATCTATAGATTAGTATGTTAAAATTGTATATTATATTTAGATGATTAAAACATGACATCACTTTAATGGATACAAATTGATGCCTCTGTCGAGTCCGGGACAGTAGGATAGGAATACAGCCAAACCCAACTCAAAAAATAACGAGAAAGTCAACACATCGTTCCTGTTTAATAAAATAATACCATGTTAACAATACCATGAAACAATATTTAATGTTATTGTAATGAACAAAAAATTTTTAAAAATTACTTCATTTTTTGTTTTATTATTGAAATTCTTCGGGTTTTACAGCAGATAAGTGCCGACCATTTAGTGATGACAACGGCTGCAAAGAAGGCCGTATGACACGTATATTCCAGTGCTTTTCGCCTATTATATGTCTGTTTGAACATTCAATTCATTCATTAATCAAATGTTGTTAAATAATGCAAACATTTTAATCAATTCTCAATACTAATACAGATATATATTTATAAATTTTTATAAATAATACATTTAATTGACTATTTAGCATAACAGTGTTATAATAGTTGAACACATACCCATTCCTGACCATATGAATCCATCAAATCATTTATAGCCATAGAATCCCAAAGCTTTCTTATGCCTAACAAATAACTTAAATTGAAACCATTCTCATTCATAATTACTAAATAAGTGAACAGTCCTCCAAAAAGTTCAAAGACTCCCAATTGAGCATATGATAGAAATAAAAGTCTAGGAATTCATTATATTTAGCGTATAATAAATTTATTTTATCATTTTTAATTACTCACCTTTTATTAACTAACTTATTAATTATAGGATCTCTTGGTTTGTATTTCATGATATCATATTCTGGGAATTCATACGCCAAAGAGATAGCAGGTATCATATCAGTAATCAAATCAATGCATAATATTGTTATTGAGCCCAAAGGCAACGGAATGTCTATCAATAGGTATAGAAGAAATGGACAAATAATAGGAGTTTTTGAAGACAATGTATAGCAAATAGATTTCTTCAAATTATCAAAGATAACTCTTCCCTCTTCTATTCCCGACACAATCGACGCAAAGTCATCGTCAAGGAGTATGATATCTGCCCTCTGCTTACTCATATCACTTCCAGTCATTCCCATCGCTATATGGATGTCGGCGTTTTCAAACACGTCTCCTCCAGTCACGGCGTTCACAGATTTCTTATTTCTGCAGCACTTAATCAGTCTGTTAAACAAAATCATACATAAACTTATTAATCAATTCACTTAATTTGCTCGTTATAAAAATCGTTTAATAATATAAATCTCAAATTACTTAACTTGACTTTTGGTTGGGAGTCATTCTGGCGAACACTATATTCGTATCACTACTTAATATATGATTCAAATGCTGATCACTTAGCCTTTGAAACTGTGTTCCAGTGATTACAGGAGATGTGAATTCATCGCTACAATACGGTATTCATTACTTNTTCGTATCACTACTTAATATATGATTCAAATGCTGATCACTTAGCCTTTGAAACTGTGTTCCAGTGATTACAGGAGATGTGAATTCATCGCTACAATACGGTATTCATTACTTTTAGCAAATGGTTGGCAAAATTAAATTATCATTTTATAATCATTGCATACTTTTCGTGAATATCTCGTAAACCAAATCTATAGTTTTCATCCATAGTTTGTTTGTCATCCGGGATAATTCCGACAGCTGTGGCGATAGCTTTTGCAGTGATTGGGTGATCGCCGGTAATCATTATGATCTTTATTCCAGCGCTTCTACATTTGTGTACCGAATCGGGAACTGAAGCTCGCGGAGGATTATTAAGAGATATTAAACCAACAAATCTCAAGTCTTTTGTCGGATAATTCTCTAATTCATAGTCAAAAGTATAATCCGTTGGATATTCATTATATGGAAGATATGTATCACAAAATGCTATAAAAAGAGAATTTTATGTCTTATTAAATGTTGTCATATTGAGAATAACAAACCAATAACACGCTCTCCAAAACTGCCAAATTCTTCAAGAATATGTTTGAAATATGATTTGTATTTTTGATCAAATGGTCTAATTTTGCCCATAACTAGAATTGTGGAGCACCTGTCAAATATCACTTCAGGCGCTCCTTTCATACATAACCAAAAACCTCCACTAAATTTGTTTATAGTTAGCGAATGTCTTACATTAGAATTAAAAAGAATCTCAAAAATTTTGGGATATTTTAGACGATAGCTCTCTACACAACCGATTATTATTTCCATATATTTAAGTAATGCCACATCCGTTGAATTGCCAATTGCTTCTCTGATTTAAACAAAACAAATTTCTTACCAAAATGTTCAATTCAATAATACAGACCTTTTTAGAGGTGGAAGCCTAGCCTGAGCTGCACTGAACTCAGCCTTATTGCAAAGACAAGCAATTCTGATGAGTGCCCTCCACGCCGGTGAATCCAAGTCCGCTTTGTAGCCTATAAGTGCTAACTGTTATCAAATATCATTTCATTGTATAATATTAAAACTCAAATACCATCTGAATGTCTGTACAAGTTTTCTGAATTAATTACTGAATTATTGGCCCAAATGTGTGATACAATCATACGATTCTGGGTTAAAGTTCCCGTCTTCATGGAATCGCACAATTAATTAATTAATTTCACTATTTATTTGGTATTTTTGTTTTGTACGATATATACGAGTTTAGAGACTGTTTTGTTTCCAGAGATTTAAATCCAATTGCTATGGTTTTTGTAATAATTTCTATAATAAATTATTTCTTACTTTATTAGTGATTATCGTTGAAGTGAGGCCTAATGTCTCCACAGTTTCATAATTAGTAACCAAACAGTTCTTTGAAGCCATCCTTTTTGCAGCCAAACTCAAGACTACAGATAGTGTCGGGAATAAACCCTCCGGTATTTGTGCCACAAATAAAGCGATCATAAATATAATGGCGTTAAGCCATGAATAGCCAATAGTGTACGATAGGACTAAATGAAAAATAATTCATTGAATGTTTCATAAACATAAAATTTCATAACGTTTTACTCGACAGAATTACGCCGATGAATAGGGAAACGGCAGTTATTATGCGAATGAAAAATGTAATATCTTTGTTAAGCAAACTCTCGGACGATTTTTTAGTGGATTTTCTTTGATAATAGTTGGCCAACAAATGAGACATTAATGTATGATCGCCAGTTTTGATGACAATTCCCTGAGCAGTTCCTGAGAAATCTTACTAATGGTATGATTTTGAAAAAACTCATTTAAAATGCAAACCTTCGACACAATTAGTTGAGAAGAAAATGAGATTTTTTGTTAAAAAAGGATTGGTATTCGTGCACTCATTTGACCGCAAGAATGGCTCATTATTTCCCATCAATAACGGGTTGACACACTTTAATCCATGAGATTCTGTTATTCTGATGTCTGCAGGAACTCTATCCCCGGCCTGTATCTCAATGAGATCCCCGACCACTATTTCATTGACGGGACACCTCAACTTAGAGCCCGCCCTAATCACTGTCACATATCGGGGTATTAAATCTCGAAATGTTATAAAAATGTTTGCACTCTTGGCCTCCTGATAATAACTAAAGCACCCTGATATCGTAACAGCACCCGCCAGAGCAAAGCCTAAGTACAGCTAATGAATGATTAATGAGAAAATTACACAATAATTAGAAATTTGAATGAAATAGCGCTCACATCGTCGGGCTGGGCGTCCACTGAACTCTCATATGTTTCCGTTATATAAGTTATAAAACACAGGAGCGAACCGATCCATAAGAAACTATTGAACCAATCGAATAGATTCTTAACAAATCTGATCCACTCTCCCGTCGCTATATTTGTTGTCACTATATTTGGGCCATTAGTTGAAAGTATTTGTTTGGCTGCCACTGGACTCAAGCCCTTTAATTATGTGAATTATGTTCACATAAAAATAGATATAAAATTTATTTAGTGCAGTTATGAAATACATACATTTGTTCAAGTTAGTAATACTGTACTGTAATTGACATACTGTATCCAAATTGGTGTTGAGGGTCGTGCATAGTTTGGACACTGACATGATGTGGTCCTCCATTTCCACTTCACGACTAATTTTCTCCAATTCATGCTTTCGCTTCTCATTTAACTTTGAATTCATGATCCGATTTCTATGTCTCTTCCAATTG